TCAGATGTATATAAATACCCACAAAAGGGTCACATCATCCGGGGCGCAGAGAGAACTGCTCCTGTCTGTGCTCCTGCTCTCTGAAGATGCCAGTCACAGATGCTGGTGAAACATTAGGGAACAAAACTTCCAGAACACAGACACACAGCCTGGAAGACCCACATCAGCCATCGTATTCCGGCCATGAAAGCCTTCGACTATACATAACATACATTGCCTAACAGATTTTTTTGTATGAGATAGATTTAAAGCATACCTGTATACCTTGGTGTGCCTGTAATATCAGTCTCTGTTGTAGGGACAGAACTGAACATTGGGCTACCTAAGCACAGAACAATAACAGGTCATTAGTGAAAGCCGCGGTTTGCAACCTTGAAATAACAACTTCTGTTCAAAATCTCTCATTTTAATTGTACCTCAATTTTAAAACCTCTCCTTCAGACATGCTTGGAGTCATGTTCACATTTCCTTAGGACTGAACTAAATGTGGCATTATGAAAAATAAAGCTTTGCATTGCTGAAACTATGATAATCTTAACCCAAGAGATCAAATTCATGATTGCTATTGTAGTAACTTCATAATGTTATTACTCTTTATAACTCCAAAAAGAGATGGTTTTTGTTTTTGCTTTTCTCTGAATTTTTTTTGGGGGGGGGTTGTTTTTTTTTGTGGGGGAGGTATTTCAATAATCTAATTGTTTGGCTGTCTCTGTAGGGAGGGCAATGCTTAAAAATGCTGGAAGTAGACTGAACTAATCCTTCCTTTTAAAGCATGCCATTTCATAATAGCTAGGGAAACATATAAACAAATATTCTGCTAGGAAAAAAGAATGTCAACTAAAATTAATGGAAATTAAGTTATATATTATATATCATATTGGTAACTATAACAATCAGTCTGAAGTAGCTTGCCAGATATACAGTACAGGTCCTTTTGAGATAAGTGAGAATTAACACAGCATTTTTATAATGCTTCTAGAACTGATTGAAGCAATGTGAGATACCATTCGGAAATGAACGATTCACATTCTTTTTAGCATGAGTATGTTAAACTATGTCAGGTTTACTAGACATTTGCTAACTAACTCATTCCTTGTAATGTGAAGGATGGATTCTTGATATCAAATGGGTATTCACAGTTTTGTGATGCTGAGTAGAATACATAGTTAAGCAGATCCAACATAATACCCTAAGAAGAAACATGCTGGATTAGATCAAAATTCTATGTAAACCAGCCTTCTATTCCTAACAGTAGTAAACCAAATGCTTATGGGGAACCCCAAAGCAGGATGTGAGTGCAATAACACCTCTTTTCATGATGGCTGGCAAATGGTATTAAGAAACCTGAAATTAAAAAAAATCATTTTTAGGCTAAAAATACATACTGACTTTAATTTTTCAGAGCTATAGCATCAAAGTTGTATTATGCCGATAAACATAGCCATTATACCTAATGATGATTTGTCTACACAAGTGATTTATTTTACTTAGATTTGTCTATGTAAAATAATTTACTGTATATACAGTATATATTTTCTTCACTTGAACACTAATAGCACTTCACTTCTTATATTCAAATCAATCTGTTATTTTCAAAACTGCAACAGCTTCCACAAAAGTACCTTAACTTGGACTGTACAGCAATATATGACTTTGAAAATGGCCTTTAATTTTTTAGGGTGACATGTGCCAACAGCTTTTTTGTCGGTTTGCAATTGATATTCTCTGGGTGCATACTTCTAACACTTTAACAGAGCTAGTAACTCATTCTCCAAATGACTTTCTGGATACTGGCTTCCTTGCTAAAACAACAGGATGCTACAGAAGTGGTTTGCCATTGCCTCCTTCCTAGGGCTGAGAGAGAGTGACAGGCTCAAGATCACCCAGCTGGCTTTGTGCCTAACGCAGGACTAGAACTCACAGTCTCCCGGTTTCTAGCCTGGTGCTTTAGGCACTACACCAAATCAGCTCTCAATATACCTATCTAATTTAAGAATATAAGAGCCCTGATGGATGAACCCCCCATCCCCCTGCAATCCATGTACTCCAACTATTTCTATGGAAACTCCATAAAAAGCACATGAATGCAGAGCAACACCTTTTTGTGCATATTCATCAGAATCTATGTATGATAGTATTTAGGATAATGGAAGAAATGTACAGCTATTAAGAATAGTAGCCACTATTGAATGTATTGCCTTGTTGCATTAATTGAAAATAAGTATATACTTTCATCTATCCTGAATTGCATGCTGTAACCACAGCTTTATCAAATACGATATAGTATGTTTGTATTGTAAAAGAATCCATTTTCTCCACACAAAGCATATTCTATGTTTCCATTACTTTTTGTTTCAAAGCTTAAAAAACACATAAAAACCTTTCCCATAGGAGAAATATTACAGCCCTTAGACAATTTTAGTTGGCCCTTTCTATATGCTTGTAATGGACTTTGTTGCAGAACAGTAATCAGAGATATGTGTAGTATTCCAAATGTGGTTTGTAGTATATATCAATAGAGGAATTAACAACCTGTGTCACTGAATCACAGTTTCTATGCTTCCTCACCACTGACTAGGCTAATGAGAGTGTCTGATCAGATGTCCTAGATTAGTACAAAGCTGTTAAGGATAATTACCTTTTATTCTTTTTCTAATTATCTAAACAAAACCAATGTCTTTTTCACAGCAGGCCATTATGCATCTTTACAATACCTTACATTGAATCACATTTAATATTTTTACAGTTTTAAAAAATCCCTTTGATGTTCTTCACAATGCCTTATTATTTTAACCATCCTACATAATTTTTTAATAAATATTTTTACTGAACTTTAAAAATACAAAGATAAAAAACGAATACAAACTAATACAAATATAAAAAAGAAAAAGTGCAGAGAAAAAAAAAAAAGGGAGAGAAGGGAAAAAATATAAAGAAAAAAAAATGACTTCCCCCTTCATTAAGACAAGTACAAACAATTTCAGTACCTTATCACCTTCTCTAACATTTCAATCAAAAATCTCTTCGTCCCATATCTCATCTTATATCTATTAGCAAATAATAAAGCCTCATCATTCAATCTTATTCAGCAAAAGTTCATTAAGAGTTACCAGAAATAACAATATGTATATTTTAACTTTAAACAAGTAAATTGATTTCATTTCCCTTTCTTTTCTTTTCTTTTCTTTTCTTTTCTTTTCTTTTCTTTTCTTTTCTTTTCTTAGTACCTTATCACCTTCTCTAACATTAGTACCTTATCACCTTCTCTAACATTAGAAATAACAATATGTATATTTTAACTTTAAACAAGTAAATTGATTTCATTTCCCTTTCTTTTCTTTTCTTTTCTTTTCTTTTCTTTTTTCTTTTCTTTTCTTTTCTTTTCTTCCCTTCCCTTCCCTTCCCTTCCATTCCATTCCATTCCATTCCATTCCATTCCATTCCCACAGTAACTTATCATTTTGTCTAAAAATACCAAAAAACAAAACAAAACCCCACCTCTTCTTCCCATATCTTATCTATAGACTAATCTTTAAAGCCTCGTAATTCAGTCCAGGTCAGGAAAAACCCATTAAAAGCTACTAGAATACACACACACACACATACACACACACACACATATATATTAACCTTGATCAAATAAGCCAATTTTATAATTCTTCATTTTGGTTTTAAAAGTCTAGATGTTTATTCCTTTTAAGCAGTGTTCCAAAAGCTGATTTCTTTTCATTCTCTCTTTATCTTTTCTCAGTAACTCCCTCCTAAGTATAACACATCTCTTTTGTAGGTCTAAAATAACAAAGTTGTCCAAGTCACTCTTCTGAGTTGAAGTACACACAGTCATTCTTCTGATTTATTATTTGTGTGTCCCTTTTAGCTAATAAAATGTCAGCCAGTTTCATTTGTAAGTCCTGCCTCCTAAGTATAACACATCTCTTTTGTAGGTCTAAAATAACAAAGTTGTCCAAGTCACTCTTCTGAGTTGAAGTACACACAGTCATTCTTCTGATTTATTATTTGTGTGTCCCTTTTAGCTAATAAAATGTCAGCCAGTTTCATTTGTAAGTCCTGTGTAACATCTTTGTCAATATCATTCTTGTACCCTGTCATTTTTAAATCCATATCCAAAACAGCCTGGTTCTCAGTTGTATCCTCTTCTATCTCCTCTTTTAAACTGATTTTTATAGTAGCAGGCAAACCTAAGAAAAAGTTCTGAGCACACTGTTGCCAAATATCCTGAATTCTTCCAGAGTTAAAATACTTTTCTCCATTCTGTATTAGTGGGTCTTCTTCTTTAATTATAATCTTTATTTCTTTCTGATTGCCTCTAGTAACCAGCCTTCAAGGTCTTCTCTTATCATGTTTTTCTCTAATCCACAACATTTCCATGTTGTGTAAGAAAACACAAGAAACATTCCCATGTTGTGTAAGAAAGGTTTCTTACACTTAGATTCAAAATCTTCATATATTTTTAGTAGGATTTTAAACAAACCACAGGAAGGATTCTTGTAATTAGTTTCAAAATCTTATTTCCAGTCAATCTGGCCCCTTAGTCT